ACCAAAGAGCCTAACAGTGTTGGATACTTTAGCAAACTTTGGCCTCCTTTTCTTTCTTTTCCTGGTTGGGCTGGAGTTAGATCCGAAGTCTCTTCGTCGGACTGGGAAGAAAGCTCTATGTATTGCTGTTGCTGGAATCAGTCTCCCCTTTGTATTAGGAATAGGAACATCCTTTGCTCTCAGAGCTACTATATCAAAAGGGGTTAATCAAGGCCCTTTTCTGGTGTTCATGGGAGTGGCCCTCTCTATCACTGCCTTCCCTGTTTTGGCTCGTATTCTAGCTGAGCTCAAACTTTTAACAACAGATGTTGGTCGAATGGCCATGTCTGCTGCAGCAGTCAATGATGTGGCTGCATGGATTTTGCTTGCTCTTGCTATTGCCCTCTCGGGCACTACCAGTTCTCCCCTTATTTCCCTTTGGGTCCTTTTGTGCGGGGCTGGTTTTGTGATACTCTGCATATTCATTGGTCCTCCTATATTCAAATGGATGGCTAGACGTTGTTCGGATGGTGAGCATGTAGATGAGATATATGTGTGCGCTACACTAGCAGCAGTTTTGGCTGCAGGATTTGTCACTGATACTATTGGTATTCATGCCTTATTTGGAGCTTTTGTGCTCGGTGTTCTTGTCCCAAAGGAAGGACCATTTGCAGGCGCACTGGTGGAAAAAGTCGAGGACCTTGTATCCGGTTTATTTCTTCCTCTCTACTTTGTTTCTAGTGGATTGAAAACGAATGTGGCCACTATTCAGGGGGCTCAATCATGGGGTCTTCTTGTTCTTGTCATATTTACCTCATGCTTCGGGAAGATTGTCGGCACCATTGTCGTCTCACTCCTTTGCAAGATGCCTATGCAGGAGGCTTTGACGCTTGGGTTCTTGATGAATACTAAAGGTTTAGTCGAGCTCATTGTTCTTAATATTGGCAAAGACAGAGGGGTATGTTTCTTCACACTTCACTTCTAATTTGATGAATTCGTGAGTTTATTAGTTCTCTAAGCTTACATGGTTTTGGCTCATCGGTTTTGCAGGTACTGAATGATCAAACATTTGCCATCATGGTGTTGATGGCTCTCTTCACAACGTTCATCACAACTCCTATTGTGATATCAATATACAAACCAGCTAAACTAGCTGTGACTGAATACAAGCATAGAACAATAGAGAGGAAAGACACGAGCAAACAAGTCCGAATGCTAACATGCTTCTACAGCACAAGAAACATTCCCACACTGATCAATCTCATTGAAGTTTCTCGAGGAACTGAGAAGAGGGAAGGACTTCGCGTCTATGCCATGCACCTTATGGAGCTTTCCGAAAGGTCATCAGCAATCTTGATGGTCCATAAGGTTAAAAGGAACGGGCTGCCCTTTTGGAATAAAGGGGAGGTTACAGATTCTAACCAAGTAGTGGTTGCTTTTGAAACATTTGAGCATCTGAGCAAAGTGTCTATCCGACCAACAACAGCAATCTCTCCCATGAATAGCATGCACGAGGACATTATTACTAGCGCCGAGAGAAAGAGGGTAGCCATGATAATTCTCCCATTCCACAAGCACCAACGACTTGATGGACATTTCGAAACAACCAGAACCGATCTAAGGCATGTGAACCGCAGAGTTCTTCAGCACGCACCATGTTCAGTCGGTATCTTGGTAGATAGAGGTCTCGGTGGAGCATCTCATGTATCTGCTAGCAATGTCGACTTCACAATAACAATCTTGTTCTTCGGAGGCCATGATGACCGGGAAGCACTTGCTTATGGTGTGCGTATGGCCGAGCACCCCGGTGTCACACTAATCGTGGTACGTTTTGTTGTCGACCCCGAAGTTGCTGGTGGCAGTGTCAAGATAGACATGAACCAGAACTCCAGCCTCGAGGCTCAACCCGACGAAGTGTTACTTTCCGGATTGAAACAGAGAATCTCAAAGGACGGATCGATCAAATACGAAGAGAGGACAATCAAGGATGCTGCAGAAACTTTTGAAGCAATAAAGACATATAACAGGTGCAATCTTTTTTTAGTTGGAAGAATGCCTGAAGGTCAAGTGGTTGCAGCATTGAATAAAAAGAGTGAATGTCCAGAATTGGGGCCTATAGGAAACTTGTTAATATCCTCTGAATTTTCAACAACAGCATCTGTTTTGGTGGTGCAGCAATATCGCAGCCAATTATCTCAAGACTCATTGAGTTCTTTGGAGGAAGGAGAATCATCAGAAGGAAATGAATCCAACTAAAACATTGAAAATAGTAACTCAGTCGTATTTTCACAAAGTTTTCACAAGTTCACAGTGTACAATAATAGAAAAGAGGGAATTACCAAATAAAGAAAGTTTATGTGTACATATATATATCTTTGGCATTCCCTCATTGTTACTTTCTGCATTAATCTTGTTATCATGTTATGTAAAGCTGCAGAATGTTAAAGTTTCTATGAAGATTTTCATCAAAACACAGAGAATGGCACAATTGCTAGATTTTTTTAACACAGTCGAAGTTCAGCAAGTGTACGGAGCAGATTATCCAAAATATATCATGGTACAATGGCTTATTTTATTTTTCGCCGACAGTTCTTGGAGCAACGGTAAAGTTGTCTCTCCGTATGACCCATAGATCACAGTTTCGAGCCGTGGAAGCAGCGACTAATACTTGAATTAAGGTAGGCGGTCTATATCACACACTTTAGGTGGGGTACATTTCCGGATCCTGCGTGAATATCTTGTGCACCGAGTTGTCGTTTTTAGTTCAAAATAAGCCTCCTTTTGTAAAAGCAAAACAATATTCGTGTTGCTTGGCCCACCACATTACCAGAATGGAAAAACTCTGGTCTTTATAAAGTAATTTCGTCATCATAGAAAGGTACAGTTGACAATTTTCGATGTGTCCAATCCAACGTAATAAACTATGAACCGGACCCTAAAATCTCACGAGACAGGTAATAATTCGAATCAAAATTTCACAAATTCAAACTCCAGTTATCAAAAGGTTATTGGTGTCTAATTTGGTCCAAAATAAGTGTCGCATTAAAAAAAAAACCAGAAATATATAAAATACTTCTCCTAATTTACCCCTTCTCGAATAGATTATGTATATAATCTTCTAAAATGTATGAAGATATTTAAAAGGTAATTTGAGGAGAAATAACAGGTAATTTAGTATAAATATTATGATTAATGCTATTAACTAATTATTTTAATTAGTGTTTCAATTTTTTTAAAGGAAACTTATTTTGGATTCAACTTCTTTTTTTTTTTTT